ATAAATTTTGGGGCATTTTTTTTTTAGCAACATTTGCTGCCCCTTTGAATCATTGAGGGCATCCTTATGGGGGTAAACAAAAATTGCATCTGAGACAAAAAGCTTAGGTTGTCTCTTGGTGCGAAAAATCAAATTGCAATTGCATATTTCTTAAAAAAGATGTGAATCAGAAACCTTGTTTGTCCCAACAATTTTGTGTTTATATAGAGATATAACTCATCTTGTTCCAATCCTTTTGTAGTGGGAGCCAGGATTCAGACCACCGATGTCTGAAATTGTCCAGGACCTCTTACAAATGATTTAGAATGGAACCCCAAGCAAGTTTTCGTTTGAGAAGTGTAACATAATTAGGAAATGAGACAGAAGATGTTAGTTTGGTTCTTGATTGGTAACTCCCTGGAGAGGAAATTTTTTTTTAATGCAGCTGCTCACCTGAAGTGGCTTTCAACCATATCGTCTACGAATCAAAGGTAACTTAGCCAAATATTTTCGTAGGCATCACTTGATTTGGCTATTCTTCTCTGTGGGAAGTGATAACACAATTATTTAATTTATTTTTCCTGTGAATATCTCTAGCCAATGCAACCATTTATTGTTTAAATGATGATGCTACAAATTGGTGTACAATTTCAATACAACTATGTGACTTGGTTATGGCACAGATCTGATCTCTTCGATTGGAATCTATCCTCTTGTTTTTTTGTTTTTTTCCATTCTTTATTTCTGTTAACATCCTGTCATTAGTTAAATTAGATCCAACTAGTGTCGTTTTCATATCCTGAAATTACTTTATTAATTCATGAACTTGTACAGCTTGATTCAAGGAAGTGCGCCGCACCCATGTTGACTTTTTCTTTTTCCTTGTTCGACATCTAGTCGAATCCAGATAAACACTGAATCTGTTAATATCAGTCAGAAGTTAATGTCTTGTAATAAAGAAATGGAAGAAAACAGTAAAATGGAAAATGTAATAGTTGAAAAGGTAGGGACAGAAATTCTTGGGGGTTTAAGGGTGCTGCTACATTGCTCGTATGAAATGTCGGATGGATCCCGGACAATCAAATGCTTTTCAGTTGTTTTTGCTATTTATTTATTCATTTGGTTTGTGGACAAAGAGCAACTTATGCCTGCTAGGCTGCTACCCACATGAGTAAGCAAACAACTATTATAAAAATTAAAAATACAATCCCATCATAAATTGTAGCTTGTTCATAGATTCCCAAATGACTCTTGTCCTCAAGATTTCAACTTAAGTTACTTGCTTTACAATCTGTTTGGCATGATGGGAAATTTTAACACAAAGGTTTTTGTTTGTTAGCTGAAAAACGAATTTTTGCAAGACATGTTGCTTTTGCTTTTCAAATAGATATATTATTTGATATGGACATCCATGACCAATATTAATCAACACCTATCAAGTTGGTTTAAGTTTAACTCACTGTTTTAAAACCTGGACCGGGCCGGCAGCCTCTCTGGTCCGGTTCAGGTTTTAGGAGGGTTTTATTGTATTTCAAATTTATGGGGACTCCCTTGTAATTTTATAGGGGTGCTTTTGAAATAATTCAAAATTTTAGGGATTAATTGAATTTTTGGACACTTTAAATAAATAGAAAATTTAAGGACTAATTAAAATTTTTTAGGGATATTTTTGTAATATATTAAGATTTAAAGGATTACTTTACAATTTTTTAAAAATAAATTTGTTGTTAATGTCATTGGTCCAACTGGTTAAACCGATCGATTGGTGACCCGATCACCTTACTAGGTCTCACAACGGGTCAAGTTTAAAAAAAATGGTTTAACTTTGAAACAATATCTTGGAATTTAATGCTCAATTCAGAAAGTGAAACAATATTATCTGGATTAATTTTTTATTCTTGATTAAAATATTTCAGAGGGTAATATGAAAGAAAGAAAATTACAGGTATAATGGATGTGGGGTCTTGATCTAAAGTCCCATTGTGATTGGAAAAAACGGGACAGGGTGTGTGGCCAAATAATCTTAAAAATTCACGTGTTTTGTTGAGACATTCCCTCTTGCCTCACAATCCAATTCTCCCAAGAGCCCCCACTTCCGCGAAAACATCTTTTGACCAAAGCCACCCTCTTCTATTTTTGGCCTAACAAAAGTACCAAATAAAGAGATTGACAACTGAGAATGAGTTGTAAATCCAAACATTTTATGCCTGAATCACACATATAATTTATGTTTGACTTCCAAGTAATTTCAGATATGCTACATCAAAATACAAGCAAATTTGAGTGTTTTTTTTTTACTTCATTATTAAAATAAAAGAAAAAGAAATAACCTAACCAACCCCTAGCTGACCGAGTGGTTCAATAGGAACTTTTAGGTGTATTATTCAAAATGTCTTAAATTTAAATTTCTCATTAATTGCTAATAAAGGTAGCCACTAAAGCTCTTACCTAACTAATAGTTCTAAAGTTCTGAAGGATTAATTGAAGTGTATATAAACTAGTCTAATAATAATAATAACAAAAAGGAAATAACATATGTTCTTCGACTTGTAAAACTTCTTTATCATTAAAAGTGAACAGGGTGGCCTATTATTGGGATTAAATGTTTAATTAAATAGAGGACTGACCTGTTTAACCAATATTGGGTGTGATCAAAATAAGTTTATTTGAGTTTGGTGTATCTTAAATACACTTAATTGCATAGAACATGGTCATTCAATGCTATGTGTTAGCTTATTTAAATTGATAAACCTTTTCTTGGCTAAAGTTTACATTAGGTGACTATATATATAAGACCTAGCTAGGAGATTCCTATTTTTTTTTTTTTTTTCTTTTTTAATCTTATGTAAACAATTATGAGAGATTAATGATCAAATACGTGGTTTGCTCGTTAGCCTGATAATCAAATACAGTAAAACCTCTCTATAGTCATAATGGTAGGACTAACTAATTTTATTACTATAAGGAGGTTATAACTTAATGAATGTATAGTTACAAAAATTATAGTTTTGATTTCTTATTTTATAATTCATGTTTTAGTAGTACAGTATTAGGATTTCAATTCATATTTTAGTAATATTAGGATTTCAATTCAACGCTTCAATTGCCTACTTTTGAAACAGATAAAAGATCATTTCTTAGAACCAGGAAAAATAAGTGTCATTGATGGAACTGTAAATGCAATTGTTGCATGGTCAATTGATGTAAAGTCACAGACAATTGTCAATGGTTTTAAGCGCTGCAAAATTAGGACCACTAATGTCAATGAATTGTAAGTTACAAATAAGGTGGATGAGGAGAATAAAAGAGTCACTATAGAATTGAGTGATCAGATTTAACAACTTCACTACACTAATCGAATAGATATTAATGTCTTTTTCGATTATCCAAATGAGCAACAAATCGCGTATGCTTTAACCAAAGGAGAAATCATTGTTGTAATTGGACAAGAAAAGAAAGGAAATAATCCTGAGAATAATAGTACGGAAATATAAAAAGTCTTGTGTCATGAAGCTCTAAACATGCTTAAGAAACTAAAAATATTTTGGGTTTAACAAGAAGGTATCCATACTAACGAGTTATTATGTACTCGTAAGGTAAAAGATGTGATGACAACTCTAAAGCATAAATCATTGTCCCAAACAATTTTAAATAAATATTTTATTTCATTTTAAACATTTAATTTTACATAACATATATTTTTTTGTAATATACAGATAATTATTACTATGTAGATGCAACTTTCCTTAAACCGGAAATTAAAAAAATTATAATTTATTACAATGTAGAGTTTATTCTTATTTATAACTATCCTAAATTAGGATTAGAATTTTTTATGATTATGTAGAGTTTATTCCTTTATAGAGTATCACTATAGAGAGGTTTTATTGTATATGGTTTGCTCTTCCATTTTTATGACCAGTTACACGATTAAAAACATTATTATTTTTCGACTGCAAATATTATACAATTCGACAGAACTTCAATCATTATATGTTTGTTATACATTTATTTAAGCATATGTTTTGTTAATTGTTGCTTTTGATTATTAGATCCCAAAGTTTGGTCACAACAAATTAGTGCCAAACATGTTCCTAAATCATGTCGTCCCAACATCCATTAATTTATACGTTTTAATAATCTTCCCATCAATCACACCAATTATAAACAAGACTTGAAATCTATTACACAAACAAATCAAAATTGTGGGTTTGTTACTAATTAATGATGTGTAGCAGTTTAAGTGGTTACCGAATTTACAAGTTAATGTCTTCATCACTTCAAATTAAGACATTGCAATCACCCAGATGATAATGAATTCAAATAAATAAAATTTGTTTTGTTTTTGAAGGAATCTCATTGTCTTTACCTGTCACTTTTATCAACACATGAAAATTCTTAGCATTAATTATTATCCATAAGTTACTATTTCCATATTTTGTAATTTTCTGCTCCACCAATTTTATTACAATTCAAATCTTATAAATTAATTCAAAACCTCTATCACTAGACTATTATAAGCCCACGTTTATTTATTTTATACTTCTTTTTTAATATTATTGAAAATAGATGAAATATATATTTGATAGCTGATTTAAAAAGACAAAATATTTCCAAAATCAAATTGAATACGTATTTTTTTAATTTAAAAATCCAGTATTTTATTTTTTTAGAAACTGCGTCAACTATAATTACAAAAAATATTTTTTATTAATTTTTAACTGGATTTATTTCATAAACTCTTGTGAGATTGTTTTATATGAAATATACTGCTAAAGATTTTCAAAAATTATTAAAAATCTTCCTAAGAATTTTTTTTAATGGTTTCAAAATACTTTAGGTGTGTTTTTCCATGTAGAATTTATTATTTTTATTATTAACCGTCTACTGCAAGATGAATGAAACTTTAGACTAATATTTAATAAGAAAAGAGAAAAGGACATTTTAGTCAAATAAAAAAAACTGGCATAATCAATCATCTCGTGGTCTGAAATCTGAAATCTCACTGTCGTTTTTCTCTCCTTCTGAAGTCGTTTCTCGGAAACACGACACAACACAACTCATCACTACGCGTCTCGGACCGAAAATACCAAAAACAAAAACAGAAATAAAAAAAAAGAGCTTCTTTTTTACAGCACTTTTTATTTTTGTAATTTTGTTTTTGTTTTAAACAGTTGAATCTCAATCATCGGAACCGAATCCAATTCCTATCTTTGAAGCTGGATTTCTTACTGAACAAACAGTTTGTTTTTTAAATATGTTTTTTCTATTCGAATCTCGATAAAGTTCCAGCTTGTTGGCGTGAAACTGAATTCAACTCTCTGTTCTCTTCAGCTGCTCCAACACGACTGTCAAATTCTATTATCATTTTAATTATTTTTTTTTTAGGATTTTCGGAAATAAATGGCCAAGCGTGGATATAAGCTGCGTATCCTTTTGTCTCTTTGAAAGTTCTGCTGGAATTTTGTGGTTTGATTTTTTTTTTAATTTACTGTTGAATTTAGTCATGGCGTTTAACTCTAGCGGCACTTGTTTTAGTTTTTGTTTGATTGTTTTGTTCTTTGTTTGCTTCTTGTTAAAAATTAGCCGAGGATCTGTTTGGCAGCTGAGAAAATGGGGAAAAGTGAAAGAAAGTTTAAGTATTATTATTATTATTTATTTTTTTATTTTTTTGTGATATTTGTCTAGTGTTAGTTTTATCAAAGTTGGGTTGGACTTGGAAGGGAAATTTGAAATCTTAAATTCCATTATTTTAAGATCAAAGGGTATAGTGACAATGTTACTTGTTTGTTTGCATTTTCTTGACTTAAATGAATGTAGAGGAATTTGTGGCACATTCAGCGAACGTGAATTGTCTAAGTATCGGGAAGAAAGCATGTCGGCTTCTTATAACTGGTGGGGATGATCACAATGTCAATCTTTGGGCGATTGGGAAACCCACCTCTTTAATGGTCAGTTTCATTGTATATATTTACTAGTCCACTCATAATCAAATCATTGCCAATTTTGATTCTTCTGGATTTGGGAAGTGTTTATGTTGTATATTGTTCTAAGCTGCGTTATTGTGTTTAAAAGAAGTGTTACTTATTGTAGTTAATTAATGACTAAATGGAAAATGGTGAATTGTTCATTTTGTTTTTGTTTTGTTGATTTATCATTGTTCAAAGAATAATCAAATAAGTGAGCGAGATTATTGCACTTGTTATTTGCTCAAGTTTCAGTAATCATTTGAGCTTACATATGTTTTTATATAGTTTTTGAAATTTTTCATTGTGGCATTTTTAATGTGTATGGGAGATTAAGATTGTCTTTTATTTTTTTTGTTAATATTCAGAGCCTGTGTGGTCATACAAGTCCAGTTGAATCTTTAGCTTTTGATTCAGCCGAAGTGTTGGTGCTTGCTGGAGCTTCTGCTGGTGTGATAAAGCTGTGGGATTTGGAAGAAGCAAAGAGTAAGTTGAATCGGTTATCTTCTGTGATCTAAGTTGGAGTCTTTGTTTGTGTCAATGTGCCACTTAATAGCACCTGAGGAGTAGAACCTGTTACACATTAACTTTGAAACGTTGCATTTAGTTTATGCATTATAAGGATCAGGTCACCATTTTAATGGTTTTGGTTGATATCACAATCTAAAAGTTCATGTTTCGTTCCTAGCCTTCACCTTTTAAGGATTGAGACCCCTTGGCTTTTCACATTTTTTATATCAGGTAGTTTTGGACTAATTTGTTATTGAACTTCTAATCCATTTATTATTCTTCTTGAAGTGTAGTGGTGCGCACTCTTGCTGGACATAGATCCAATTGCTCTTCTGTTCAATTTCATCCATTTGGGGAATTCTTTGCTTCTGGGTCCATGGACACAAATTTAAGGATTTGGGATATCAGGAAGAAAGGATGTATTCACACATACAAGGGTCATACTCGAGGCATTAGTACTATCAGATTCACTCCTGATGGTCGCTGGGTAGTGTCTGGTGGATTTGATAATGTAGTAAAGGTGAAAATAACGCCACACTATCAGCTGTGTTGCTTGCAGTAAGTTTGCTTTTTATTTTTTTGATCCACGTATCCTTGTTGGTATTGAACAGGTGTGGGATCTTACTGCTGGAAAACTCTTGCATGACTTTAAGTTTCATGAAGGGCAAATTAGATCTATAGACTTCCATCCTCTTGAGTTTCTCCTGGCAACAGGTGAGTATATCATTTCTGTAGAAGTTTAATGAGTTCTCCTTGCTTGTATATGTACCTACAGTTCCTTGGATGCTCTATATAGTTGTCTTAAAGTGATGTTTTCAATCCTAGACTTAATGAACTTTTCACTGTTGGAATTCTAAAGTTGTTTAAATTCAGGATTTATTGTGTTTGAGCAGCCTGATTACTAGCCTCTGTTTTGGCTTCATTGAATTAGAAGTACGTTGATTGTTGATAGCTACAAAAAGAAATTTACATAAATAAAAGCTGTTTTGGCCTTTTCTAAGTCACATTCGGTGCAATTTCTTTGTATATAAATGCATGGCAAGTTCACAGCCTCATAGTTTTATTCCTTCTAAATTCACAAGTTACTTGTACATATGTGTTGATGCTTGTGTTTCAGATTCCTTGCTCCTTATGCCACTTGAATGGCATGTTTAATCAGTTCCTTTTCTTAAAATATTGTGTAATATACTCATAAATTTTCAGGTTCAGCAGACAGAACTGTGAAATTCTGGGATTTGGAAACCTTTGAACTGATTGGATCTTCCAGACCTGAGGTATCCGAGCTTATCTTTTTCTGAACTAATAACACTTCATAATGTGATATGGTAGAAATTTATTTATTATTTAGGCTTCCCTGCAACCATATACCGTTCTCCGTCCCCCCTCTCTGGGTATTTCGCGTGCCGCCCCCCCCCCCCCCAACAAAAAAAAAAAAAAAAAGAAAAAAAAGATATTGATTGAATTATCACAAAATTGTAGCATAAAATGCAATGAAGTGCAATTAGTAATATCATCATCATTTGTACAAACTCTTCTGCCCATTTATTGATGTTCAATACATTTATCTTCATGCATTTCATTGTATTAATTTCTTCAATTATAAAATGGCTGTGATTGCTAAACTTGTCTATAATTCAGAAACACTGAAATATACGAGTGAATTTTCAAGATAAGACTTCCAAATGCCTTCTTTGTATCTCAGAGTTGCCATATTTATTTATTTGTCACAATTTTAAAAATGCTTTCAGTGCACTTTACTTGACATGCATAGTTACAAATTCTCTTGTGAGCTAGCTGCTTTTAGGCTGATATGGACATAGTCTTTATTTTAACAAAAAGAAAATTTTATAACCATACAGTTGGAGTCCTTCCATACCGTGCATGTTTCTGGGAGTTTTCTTCGACCATCTTTATCTTAGTATTTGGCTTATCAACTTCTTGCCGGTTCCCCTTGTCCACTGAGCAAGTGCCTTTCTGGTGCTTTCCTTTGTTCATGGTACACTTAACTTGGGCCTATGTTAAGCCCTATTTTACATGGATAGGTTCAGTAATCTTCCTGATCAGCATCTTAGTATTTTATCTTTAAATCTTAGTTGGAAACCCGTGTTTCCCAAAAGACAAAGAATCAAAGTATATCCTTTGCTGCCAAGGTGTAGAATTTGCATCTCTTGCACTATAGCTGCGGAGATGGAAATGGCTGTGGAAATTTTCACTGATTTATTGGTATAAAGTTTACACCTATTTACTTATGATGTTAACAATTTGGCATTTTGTATAATTTGTACTCCATCATCAATCTCTTCTAAGTTTGGGGTTCATGTCCGTCTGGTAGTTTCATTTTTCTGAATTCTTCAACTTCATAGTTTTTTTCTTTGAAAGTTGTGATTTAGGAGTTGGATAATACTTTGGTTCTACATGTGTTTACAGACTACTGGAGTTCGCTCAATTACCTTTCATCCTGATGGGAGGACCCTGTTTTGTGGTTTGGATGATAGTTTGAAGGTTCGGATTTTTTCAATCATTAATCTTTATCAGAATGTTTAACTTTTAATACAGCATAAAAATCTGATTTGATGCTCATAAATTTTAGGTCTATTCATGGGAGCCAGTTTTATGTCACGATGCTGTTGATATGGGATGGTCAACACTTGGTGATCTCTGCATTAATGATGGAAAGCTTTTGGGATGTTCCTTCTATCAAAATTCTGTTGGAGTTTGGGTAGCAGATGTTTCGGTATTCACTTGTTTCATTTCTTTGTGTCATTACACAATTGTTACATTTTCCTTATTGTTGAGTCAAAACTTGCTATAACATCAGTCATTTTTTTTTCTTTTTCTGGTGTCAGCATATTGAGCCATATGGACCTGGTGTACCTGAGCAAAATGACTGCACAGAGAAGAAAATTAATTCCCCAGGAACTCATTCTTCGGAGAAAGTAGGGAGTGGCATTAGATCCACTTCCAGTTTGCGCTGCAGGTCTCCTGATTATGACACAAAGGGGATAAAGACCATATATGTGGACTGTAAGTTTTTCTTTGATATTCTTCTTCTTGAATACTGTAATTTTTTTTTTTTTTTAAATTGCAAATCTGTCAACTCTCCATATGGTCCATGTCAAAGGGAAACTTCCTGTTGGGTTCTTATTTTATTGCATTATGACTTGAGAAAGCAACCTTTCTTTGATTTTTGTCTGGTCCTATCCTCCCCTAAAAATTCTATTCAAAGAAAATAAATAAACATTAAAAATAGATTTTTGACCAACGAATCACACCTGCAGCAGATCCGCTCCCTCTCTTTAACATAGCTCCCACTCCTTTTAAATATATATTTTTTTTGAGAATACAAATGCATCAGCTGTTCATGTGGTCTATGTCAAAGTTCTTATTTTATCAAATTGTGACTTGAGAAAGTGATCTTTCTGTAAAATACTAATTCAAGCAGAATAAATGAACATTAAATTTGTTTTATGACCAATGAATCACTTGCTGTTCTCTCTTTAACATTTCAGCCATCGATCCTTAAATTTGAACCAGATCCATCCCTCCAGAACTTTATCTTGAGCGAGATTAGATCATAAAATCTCTTATACCACCACAAGAAAACTTGTCAAATGAGCTCAATGCCAAAAAAAAAAACTTATCAAACGAGCTATAAAAAATTCTTCTTATCCATGTCATGTCTGCTTTGAAGTTCTATTATGCTTAATGGAAAGTTATTGATTTGGTTACTTGCCAACTTCTAAGATGTATGTCCTGGTTTCTGGTCTATGTCTATGTGCATGGATAGGAAATGGCCAACTAGGGCTATGGACTGTGTTAAATTTATGGTAGACATACAGTTGATTTAAATTTCTGGTTTTACATATAAACACTCATTGATCACTTGGGCATATGACAGACATTGTTTTGTTTTGTTTAGTTATCTTCTCTTATAATGTTTACATTTTTTCTCCTAATGTGCTTTCTCATTTTCCATGTAAAAGCTACTGGTGGAAAACCTGTAACTTCTCAGAAAGTGGGGTCTTTGGACTCTCCAAAAATTGTACTCCCTGTGGATACCAAGGAAATCACTGATCTCAAAACAGAGAAGCAGAATCCTGCAATAGATTCGCTGGCAAAATCTAATGCGCAAGCACTTATTAAATCTTTTGTTGTTCCTAGTATTGTACCTCGTGAGGGTCCTGCTGGGAAAGACTCTTCCAATTCTGGCAGAGAATCTATTACCTTTTGTAAGACAAAACCTGGTATGCTGCTCCGGCCAGCTCATGTACGAAGGCCATCAGTTAGCAAGATTGAAGCTGAAAAGGCGTCTACACCTGTTGAATCTGGAAGTTTCAGAAGCATGAAGGGTGATATGGACAGTGCAAAGGATCCAAACTTCCAAACTCAGCTTGTATTATCAGATGGAGGTAGAAAATCCTTTGAAAATGACTCTGATATCAAGAACTGTACAGAGAAGATTCAAAAAGCTGTCTCTCTGCAAGGACCTTTGAATCAAGAAAACCGTAAGTTATTGGTTCATATCGATTTACATCTTGTTCTCTAGCTTCATCTCATTACCTGCTTTTCGGTCGCATATATTCAAGATGATGTTTCTGGACTGTTTATTATCCTCCACCCTAAAGCATGCCTCTATACTTGATTTAAAGTTATTTTTTTCTAGAAAATATTTGACAAGATAGTTTGCCAGTATCCATGTTGATATTTACTTTACCCTTGACAATATTTGCTACAATATTTATAATATATGTCTCTCTCTAATTTTTTTTTTTTTTTTGAAAACTGGAGTTTCATGGTAGTTGTTTATCATATGCGCCCTGTGAACACATGGGCTACCCCATCTGGGAGTAGCTTCTTCCATGAGACTATAAATCATGTCTTTGATTCTTACTTTTTTCTTATAAAGTCAATGGCTTGGAATGTCTCAAGCATTACGTGTATTTAGTTGTCACTCTAAAATTTCATCCTTTCTTTCTCCCCACTCGTTAGTATGAGGTAAAACCAGGGTTTTTTTTTTTTTTAAATTCACAGTTTTCTTTATCTGGAATATTATCTTTGTTATAAGAAATCTATGCTATAACAGGTATTTATAAATGTTCTTGTTTCATTCAGGTGATGAGTCCCTTAATCACAGCAAAGAAACTCACGCTGTTAAATATGTCAATGGAGGTTTGTCATTGTCTTGTACTGTAGTTTTCAGGAATATATAATTGATTGATATCTAATTCATTTTAAAATTACCATATTGGCAGTTGCAGTTGTACGGGGAAGGACACGCTCTCTGGTAGAGAGGTTTGAAAAAAGAAAGGGATTTAATACTAATGACAATCAAGCAATTAATAGCAATCCTCAGAGGACAGTTAGTAGCAATGAAGACCAATCAACAATTATCACACCTAGCACGAGACTCAGTAGCAATGAAGATCAAGCAACTAAGGTTACCCCTCAAATGAGAATTGATAGCAATGCAGATCAAACAACTAACACTATCACTCATGTGAAATTTCAAAACAATGAAGGTCAAGCAAATAATACTACCTCTCCTGTGAGATTTAAGAACAGTGAAGATCAAGCCACTAGTACTACCCCTCCAGTGAGATTTACGAACAGTGAAGATCGAACGACTAATGCTGCCCCTCCAGCGAGATTGAAGAGCAGTGAAGATCGAACAACTAATACTACCCCTCCTGGGAGATTTATGGACAGTGAAGATCGAGTGACTAATGCTACCCCTCCTGGGAGATTTATGAACAGTGAAGATCGAACGACTAATACTACTCCTCCTGGGAGATTTAAGAACAGTGAAGATCAAGTGGCTCGTACTACCCCACCTGGGAGATTTAAGAACAGTGAAGTTCAAGTGGCTGGTACTACCCCCCCTGCGAGATTCAAGAAAAGTGAAAATCAAGCAACTAATACTACCCCTCCTGTGAGATTTAAGAAAAGTGAAGATCAACCAACTAAGGCTATCCCTCGTATGAGATTTAAGAACAATGTAGATCAACCAACTAATACAACTCCTTACATGAGATTTAAGAACAATGACGAGAAGGCAACTAATGCTGCTCCTCATGTGAGATACAAGAACAATGGAGAGCAAGCAACTATTCTAAGCTCTCACAGGATGGTTGAAGCTGACGAAAGACCCACCATTCTGGTAGGTTTCTGGCCTCCTTGAAAATTAAAAAAAAAAAAAAAAAAAAATTATTCTCTTCACATCTGTAAATATTTCTTTCTTTACTTGGGTTAAAATTTAAGTTTTAGCATAATTTTGTTCATTAGTAAAAACTTGAACGCAAGATTCTTAGGCATTAAAGCTTCTAGTTAAAAGTTACAACTTAATTAAGGTCTGCATCTCATCAAGTCAATATGGACACTATGTATAAACTGATGAAATTTTCACTGTCAGGACTTGTTTCTGTATGAATCTTCAAATCATCATGGTTTTTTTGATAAGCCGCTTGGGGCAATCCCCAACAATCTATTCAATTCAGGCACAGGATAATTTAGACTATCTGAATGCCTTCTGTTTCTGTAACCAGCATAGTTATAGAAAATTATTTCAGCTGTAGAAATTGTTTTCCATTTCTGAAAAATAATCGCCTTCATGAAACTTTTGTGTTTTTGAAGTTTTGTAATGAAAGCTTAAAAAGAGTTTCCAATCAGATAACATTATAATCTCTTGAAAATGTTTCTTAAAAGGTTTGGCGAATGTCTTTTGAGACATTTAGATACCTGACGTGTATACAATTTCACTTCATGTTTGATATTCAACAGAGTCGAGAACCGCAAATTCCAGGAAGGGATACAACCTCTGCAAATGATGGGGAAGTTATTGAAAATTTGATGCAAACTCATGATGTATTCATAAGTACTCTTCGGTCTCGCTTGACCAAATTACAGGTGATTTTTGCTGGTCACTCATGTTTATTATTTAGTGAAGGTGGACAATTATTGTTCCTCTACTTAGCTAGAAATGGTATGATACTAGTTGTAATTTTACTTGCAGGTGGTTCGACATTTTTGGGAAAGAAATGACGTTAAAGGTGCTATTGGTGCCATGATGAAGCTGCCAGATCATTCTGTAAGTATTCGGTGGAAGTATTCAAGTAGTTTGCTTATTCTGTTTCTGATGGTTAGAATTGGTTTTCTAGTGGTTTATTATGCACCTATTTGGTCTTCCTAAGATTTAATTGATCCTTGAACAGGTGCAAGCTGATACTATCAGTATCCTGATGGAGAAAATGGAGACTCTCAACTTAGATTTATTTTTGTGCTTGCTTCCTGTGCTTGTGGGTTTACTGGACAGCAAGATGGAAAGGTACATTTGTAAGCTTGTGCACTTGTAATGCTAGGGGTTCTAATATACCATAGAATTTTGACCATCTTGTTCTTGTTCTCACTTATGTTTTCTGGATTAGTTGGGTAAACATTTTACTTATAAATATCACTTATTTGACCACGTGTTACGGAATTGAAGGGATATGTTCTTTTTCCAATGGTGCACTAAATTCAAATTGGCTAATTATCCTTAAAGCCATTCCTTTTTGTTGGAAATTACAGGCATGCAAGCATCTCATTGGAGATGCTTCTGAAGCTTGTAGCAGTATTTGGTCCAATGATACACTCAACCGTTTCAGCACCTCCCGCTGTAGGTGTTGATCTTCACTTAGAGCAAAGGTATCTTAGTTAATATTACTTCTGTTATTTACCTTACAATTTCTTGATACCTTGAGTTAATGTGAATTATTGTCTGTGTAATTCTCTTCTTTGAATATTTGCATTCAGGCGAGAATGCTGCAAGCAATGTTTTGTACATCTTCAGAAGGTCCAGAAAATTCTTCCAGATCTTGTAAGGTAAGTTTGCTGTCTTTGAGTTGTAGGCTGAAAAGGGTACCAATAAAAGAGAAGGTGCTCCTTACTGAACTGGTTCGATCACTATGAGTCTGTTGACTTCACCTAATTACACTATGTTGATGCTCGAAGCTCAAGCTATTAAAACTCTAAATGACTTCTAGAATTAAGTAAATCATTCAAATCTAATAATTTACCGGAAATGAACTTGTATGCTAATGAATTGTAAGTCCTGCATGAGTTGGGGAATTCTCCTGTAGTATTAAGTATTCAATGATGCAGTTTGTGTATTAAGTGTTCTATGTGTTTTGAAATAGCAAGAATTGTTTAAAACTTTTTGTCTTTCATCAATGATCTGAAAATTGTTTTCTGCCGGTTTTGCTACAGGAGGGGTGGTTTGCTGGCAAAATGTGCTTCAGAATTGAATTTAATTCTTCAAGAATCATAGGCAATCCTGCAAGCCAGTACTAGTTTCTGCTAAAGCTCTTAAGAGTGGCTTGGCCGAATACTCTAACCGGCTACTATTTAATACAGTATTTCCGCATCTCATTGTGTGTATTCACAATTTTGTCTTGCGCTTCATACATTTTGCTGTCATCCTTGGATTTCGTCTCGGATGAGATTCTCATGAGTAAAGGTAAGAGCAGAGCCATACATTTAACTGTCATCACCTGCATTTCCAGAAGGTGGAAAGACTAAATTTTGGCCTTCTGGAACTGTGGAGGATATTTCTAGTCATGATTCTTTGATTACAGATGATGTGTAATTTTCCATTTAAATGAATGTAAGTATGCTCCAGTATATATAATATTGTATGTATCTTGTATTTGTAATGATCAATGAAATATGTGTACTTTTGGAGCTTCCGATCCCATGAGATTTATACATGTTTTGGTACGTGGTACATGGCTACATGCAATGGAATTGGTAAAGCTAAAGCATTGTGACTGCAAATTAAATGAAAAAGGAGATTATATTCATATCCAGAAACAAAATCTAATGCCCTAAAAACATTCATATTATGAAGCCATGTGTAGTGTAACAGAGAAGAACATACGCATCAACCGTTGGTTGAGAGTATTGGTAAGGCAATATGACTGGTCTTTAGCATGCTACAAGCACAGCCATACTCGTGTTTCTATACATGTCTCTTTACAAGGCCAGGCCGCATAGCCATTGTAGAATCCAATCATATTAACTTGTTGAAACGGAATTCAATCGCTTGAGGAAAATCGAGAACTTTCTTTCATCTTATTATCACTATTTCTAAAATTTTTGGTTTAAGTTTCAAACTTTTAAGATTCTGTATTACGAATAACTTTTCGAGATGTTCCTGTATCCTCCATTAACCAACAAAAAGATTTTGGGTTGTGAGAGTGAAACAAAAACAGCTTCAAGTTATGGCCCATAGAAAACCAAAAGTTTTGCCTGGTTGTATTACATGTAATGTTTGTTTGGTAATAACCAAAAGAAGCAAAGGTGCATTACTATTTGCCAAAATGTAACAATTTTAAGTTTTAACTGCTTTATGAGTCACCCACATTAACTATGTGTAAAGATGAGGCTTTTATCATTTGGGAAAAAGGGCAAATACTAAGGTTCACGTTCGATTCATTATTCTGATACTTTTTAGAATAATATTTTGAAAAAGTTAAATTGGACGAGTATTACGATGTAGAATTTAGAAATTAACAAAAATACCTCATATGTTTGTTTATTTACTAAACACCCCTATAATAAAATATTAAAAGTTAACAAAAACACCCCCAACCCACCTATTAAATACGGACAGTCGACTACCACCGTTGGAGGATGGCTGGAGTCTCCGTATCAATGCATGACCGGCTGGATCTTGTCGATCGTGAGTCGATATGACCTTTTCTTACTAGATCCACGGTGGATCTGGCCGGAAAATACCAGATCTACGGCTAGATCTGGCCATTGATGGCCAGATCTGGCTGCATTTGGTCATCAACGATGGCCAAAAATACAGCCGTTGTTGATGGTCAACGATGACCATATCTTGGCCATCGTTGACGACTGGCTACGGCCAAAGATCTGGCTGTCTACGGCCAGATCTTCAACAGTGGTGGTCGGAATCTAGTAAATATGAGTTGCTGGGGTGTTTTTGCAATTTATAAAAAAAATATTTGGGGGTATTTAGTTAAATTTACAAATTTAGGGGGTTTGAAAGAAATCGAATAATATAGAATAACATTGTGAGAATAAGTCAATTTTATTGTTTAACTTTATTGGGAATACTAATAATAGTATTCCCAAGAGTGTAACAAACGGATCCTAAATTATCCCATTTTTTAAGCTTTATTGGATTGGATATGATTTGGACTTTAATTAATAATTAACCATTAATCCTAAATTAAACGGGATGCAATTGAAATATCCTTTGAATCAGACAATTCAAAAGAAAATGGCCCAAATGGACATTGATACATAGCAAATTTAATAGAGGTTACAATATCATTTGCATTGCAAAGTAAAGCAGGATTTTGTTACGGTAATTAGACAAATATTATAGGGTTATTATTAACTACACCCCGTGAAATTAAAAGATCTTCCTAACCCCCACAAATCATTGTTTTAAAACCCGAACCGGAGGGCAACCCGTTTTGCTGTCCAGGTCACGGGTCAACCGGTCCAACTGGTTGGACAAGCCGGTTGGACCGATGATGTCGGCGATAATTTTTTTTTTAAATTACTATTAATCTCTCAAATTTTAATATATTACAAAAATTCCCCTAAAAATTTTAAATTAGTCCCTAAAATTTTTATTTATTTCAAAAATACCCCAAAAATTACCAATTAATCCCTAACCTTTTGACATATCTCCAAAACACCCCTATAAAATTACAAATTAACCCTTATAATTTTAAAATATTATAAAAAACCCCCTAAGACCTGTACCAAACCGGAGAAGCTGTGGGCTCTCGGTCCGATCGCTCTCGGTCCGATCGGTCGGTCCGATTTTTAAAACAAAGCCACGAACTTCAAGCACTACCTAAACACCCCCTACTTCACTTTTGACTGTTAAAATTGACAGAGAGAAAGGTAAAATAGATATTCAAATAAAGAAATTGTCGCGGTGTTGATAGCTGCATTATCAAGCGTTGACGTCATAACTCTCTCAGTTAATAAATAATCTTGCAAAACTGTAATAATTGTAAAATAAATTGTCTCAACACTGTGTTTAGCAAATAATGGTTTAAAACCTATCAATTTTGTTGTAAATGTCAACTATGATCTAGATAATGTATTGCGACACTCAAAACATCTGTTTTTGATGTAGCAGCCCATATGTTTGAAGTAAGTGCAATAGATATATTCCTAAAATTTTCAAATTCTATTTTAAGTTGATCTCTTATTTTATTATAAATTTTTAGTATGTCCCTTCTACTTATACCTTTACTAACAGGGTTATATGCTGGACAAAAAACATCTTTAATCATTTCAACAAAATAAGGATTTTCAGATAAAGAAAGAGAAGAGTCTGTAGCAACCATGTATCTTGGTATTGCCTCTCGTACTTTGAGTGCATTGCATTGCCAGGCTGAGAGAGTTGAGGATTGTGGATAAAAATTAAGTTGAGTTTGAATTTGCCTATGTAGTGCGGTTGAAGTTGAACCGGACGGTCCGGGCTGCATATATTGAGGGTGCTTCTTCTCCAAGTGTCGCTGCATCATCAAAGTCTCGCGCTCAGTGTTGATAATGGTTGCACAAAAATTACATACCCCGCACGTTTCTCCCCCCTCCCCATTTGGCTTTGCTCGTTTTGATTTGGTGAAGCATTGTCATACCCTGGACATGACCCTCTTTGACAGGCTTGCCGTGCCTGTGGTGTTGCAGCTCGCTTGTGTTTGGCTCACGCAGTCTCTACTGTTTCTGGTTGTGGAATTGTTGCCTCTGGAAAGGGTGAAATTTTTCATTTCTTTGGTGGATGAAACATAAAACTCATTTGCGGACGATCCTCCGAATGCATAATTTTGGAAATCCATTATGAATTTATGATAAAATAATAAATAACTAAAATGGAAGAAATTGAATAATATAAATAATAATATGAATAAATATAAATATAAATTGAAGAGAGTTTGAGAATTGGAGTAGAGAGAATGAGAGATTGAAAGTTATGAAGAAAATGGAGGTTTGGGGTTTAATTTATACTTGAGGTTTGGGGGGGAAAGTGAAAAAAAAAAAAACCTTACCCCCTCCCCATGACCGTTGGTTGCTTAATTGTTGATTTTATAATTTTTTTTGTAAAATATCATTTTAGTCCCTATATTTATTGACTATTTCATAAAAACCAGAGGGTTTTTTATATTTTCCAAGGGTCTTTTTGAAATAAGGGTGAAGGGTTTGGGCCCGGGCCAGGGATCAGTCCTAGGCCCGGGCCTTAAAGGCGATACCAACCCAAGGACCAATCCCTCCTCCTTTACGCCAGTCTGTTTCTGGTACTGGGTCTGATTTTTTTTGGGTAGGTTTTTTGGGCCTAGTCCCAAATTCCCACCTCTATTATCAATCAAGTTTTCAAATCATAAACATAAAATTTTAAAATATTGTTTTCAGACAAATATGTCAAATGCATTTTCATTTTTCATTTCCAAATACCAATGTCAGAAAAATATATCTATTATGCCTAAAATAAGGGCTGACCTATGCTGATGTCAGCAAGCACTAACCAGAATTCAAAAAGGCTTCTCACCATCCAGAATTTGTCATGTCTCCAAAGACAGAAAGAATATAGCTGTCAACAACCTAGTTAACTCAAGTTTTGCCTATGAATGAATTTGGTTCACACACCTGTCCAAGCCCTATTTAATTTAAGGATATTCTTTGAGTTCTCAACGAATGGAAAGGTATGAAAGATTTGCACGACACCAATCCACTTGCAAAAATGTAATTGTTACCTTGAGCACAGTGGGTATAAATAGGCAGCTCCCCCTCACAAAATCGAGTTAGACATTCTTGAATTCAACAAAGTAAATAGCAAAGACACACTATATAATACCCACATTCAAAAATATGGTAGGGATTATTTTATAGTCATAGTGAATATATTTAACTAGTTTTATAGAGGAATTCCATAAAAGCTTCAATAGGGGCAAAATGGTCATTTCACACAGAATCATGTGTTCAAGTGAAAAGTGAGTATGATAAATATAATGTATTAAGTGTGCTAGCCATGAGAATAGAGTGATAGAAAGACTATGGAAAATACACGTGATGTGATGCCGAGATAAATACGTATTTGTAAAGCAATAGAAAGAAATTAAAGAATAAGAGTAAAATGGTCTTTTCACTCACAACTAGAAAAAGTGGGGAGTGAAAATGATCAAGAATATGTGTTAAATCCATTGAAAGTGAGGGTATATTGGTAAATGCACGTATGGCATAATTGGAATTATCATAAGAATGCAAGGGCAAAATGGGAATGTATGTATATATATATTAGTTATAAGGTTTCAATTGACAAAACCCTAGCCATTCTCATCCCTTGGGCACGCCACCTTCTTCCCCCATTTCTCCTCCATTTCTTTAAAGTCTTCCAAGAGAATTACATGAGAATTCGTGCCTAAGTGAATATATGTTCATTTTGTGGCTTTCTAAGGTAAGAATTTTAGCAAAAGTTTGTGATTTGTGTTTTATAAGTATGAGTTCTCATGAATTTATGTGTTTTAGCATGAATCAATGGAGAAAGTGAGCAAAGAAAAGGATTTTTGCAAGAAAAAGGTAAGTAAACTCAATCTAAGCTTTAATTTGAGTAGTATATGTGTAAGTTGATTCTTGAGTGTTTGTGTATGATGTATGATAAGAAGTATTGGTTGTTTAGATGCTTGTTTGATGGAGAATA